TTTTTTTGTCAGTGGAAATTGTCATGACGCCATTTCTAACCTTAGGTCCCTGGGCGGGACCCGGAAAGAAATGTGTAAACGCCAGAAATCAAAGAAAATAAAAATAGAAATAATAATAATCATCTCAAAAGTGTGGCACATGAGAAAATCAACTATCCCTGTTGTAGTTGGTGTCCTCGGATTGGTTGGAAAAGATTCCAGTAGACTAATTGAAGGGATTCCTGGAAGCCCATGCCTTAAACAAATACAAAAAAATGTTATCACGAGTAGAGCACACACCTTACGAAGTAAAGTAAAACTTTATGTAATTTTTTATTTTTTTTGTCTGTTAAAATCTCATGATGCCATTTTTAACCTTAGGTCTCTGGGTGGGACCCGGAACGAAATGTGTACACACCAGAAATCAAAGAAAATTAAATAATAATAATAATACCGATGGCGGCATCTGTGAAGCGTAAAAGCAAGCCTTAAGAACAAATAACATCAAGTTATCTACTGATAAAACTGTTGATGTACACTTGCACATGCTGCATGGGAAAGCTACTGAAAATGTGGCTGCACTCAGCTGACACAGAAGGAGTACAAACAGCGCCCTAATAAAGTAGCCCTCAGAATTCATTGGGAACAATGCCAGCAGTATGGCCTCAAGTGTGCAGAGAAATGGTATGAACCACCCGGATATCACTGGCTTGACTGATAAAAGCGCTTGGAAATCAATTAGATCTATGCACACAAGAACAGCCCTGAATGGATTCTGTTAGCTCTGCGGTACCTTGGGATAAGAACATCGTTAAAACGGAACAGTACTGACGTAGCAAGTCCTGGCAGGACAAATCAAGAGAAATATACAAATCAACAGCACAAATTGTCCCTTTTGTGGTTGGCGCACACTCGAGACTATTTTGCACGACGCCTGGGCATACCTGACATCGTTGTGAGTGAGCAGATCAACGCCCTGCTTGTAACAGCTCATACGTCTTTAAGTTGTCGGTAGGAGCTGAGATATGGTCATCACCACACGGCTGAAGCATCTAAGAGTTGGAGAGGATATAATAATAATAATAATAACAATAATAATGGTGTTTCAAATGGGTGTAGAAATACAAATAAAGTACAGTATGCCGACTGAAGCTGCAAAATAATCTAAAAAGAAAGCAAAAGCAAATGCAATATACCAAATGCAGAAACGATGGTAAGATAAACCGCTTCATGGCCAATACTCTGCACGTACCAAATAAGCTTATGTAGACAAACCCCTTACCCATCAGTGGCTACATACTGCAGGGTTAAAAGCTGAAACCGAAGCTTTTATTCTTGCTGCACAGGACCAATGCTTGTTAATTAGAAATTATCAAGCAAACATACTAAAAAATTGTGTTAACCTAAAATGCAGATTCTGTGATAAATATCCAGAAACAATTGATCATCTTGTATCAGGTTGCACGGTATTTTGCATCCACTGAATATAAAACTCGACATGACAGAGTGGGCCAATATCTGCATTGGAAAATCTGCAACTTTTATGGAAAGGAAACTGAAAGAAATTGGTATGAACACCACCCAGTCCCGGTTACGGAGATAGGGCCTGTAACAATTCTATGGGACTGCAGAATACACACATACAGAACAATCAAAGCTAATCGCCCAGACATCGTTATTAGAGACCGCAAACAACAAAAAAAAAAACCCTTCTTATTAATATGGCAGTCCCTGCAGACTGCTATGTATCTTTGAAGATCTTCGAAAAGCTATCAAAATACAAGGACCTTGAAATCGAAATTTCAAAAATATGGCACATGAGAACATCAACAATCCCTGTTGTAGTTGGAGCCCTAGGATTAATTAGATGAGATTTCCATAGACTTATTGAAGGTATTCCTGATAGCCCAAACCTTAAAGAAATACAAAATATTGTTCTCATGAGTACAGCCCACACCTTACGAAGGGTATTATCCACGTAAAATGTGTGTTTTTTTGTTTTTTTAATTGCTCAGTGGAAATTGTCATGATGCCATTTCTGACCTTAGGTCTCTAGGCGGGACCCGGAAAGAAATGAGTATACAACAGAAATCAAAGGAAATAATAATAATAATAATAATAATAATAATAATAATAATAATAATAATAATACTGTGTCTTCAAAAATCTTCAAAAATATCAAAATACAAGAATCTTGAAGTGAGAATCTCAAAAATGTGGCACATGAGGACATCAATAAATCCAGTTGTAGTTGGAGCACTCGGATTGCTTGGAAAAGGGTTCGATAGACTCACTGAAGGGATTCTTAGTAGTTCATGACTTAAAGAAATACAAAAACAAATGTACTCAAAAGCACAGCAAACACACCACGAAGAGCTTTATGTATGCAAAATGTGTGTGATCTTAGTTTGTTTTTGTTCTTTTTTCCACGAAAATCATCAGTGGAAAATGTCATTTAGCCGTTTCTGATTTTAGGTCTATGGTTGGAACCTGGAAGGGAATTGTATACAACAGAAATATAAAGAAATAATAATAATAATTTTAATAATCCTATTATAAATGAGCTTGTCCGTCCCTTCGTTAGTTCACACGAGCGTTACAACCTGCCAGTGTCTCATATATAATGGACTTTTCCTTTTTGATCGCGTGGAAAGAGGGAGATAAGACACTACTTGGTTTCAGTGATAAAATGAAAGAAAGAAAGGAAGGAAGGAAGTGTTTAACGGTTGCTTCGGTAAAATGGAAAAAGAAGTTATAAATTTCACATCTTTTCATTTGTACCGTCTTCTTAACGACCAGCATTCATATTTATGATTGTTATTGCAATATTTTATTTAAGTTGGTAATATAAATTATTTAACGATGCAATAGGGGAATTTCTATGGATATTTTAATGTTGTAGAAGTCGCCAAGGCCTTACTTAATCATTAACTGTTGTGAAGTAGTTTTCACAGTGGAGGCTTGTATTTAAATAAGTCGTCCTAAATTAGGTTCGACGTACAAAACGTTAGGAACTTGGAAAATAAGAGTTAATGACGCAGCAATCTAGTTGTGATGGTTGGTACTTCAATGTCCGATATCGTCTGACTTGCTCAACACCATTGAGACGAACTGGCGACCGCTACTGCTACTCCTACTTATTGTCTATGGGAGAGTCTATTACAATAGAATAGGTACTATGGCATAACATTAACTTAACAAGATTCATCAGACATTTAACATAGGAAAACCGTGAAATTTTCGCGGGTTGAAACTAGTAGTAGTAGTAGTAATAATAATAATAATAATAATAACTAGGAGTACACATGAACATTTCACTGGTTTGGATTTTTCTTTCTTTCTCTTACTGAAATCAAACAACGTCTCTGATATGTCTTTTCCGTATTTCCACGCGATCAAAACGGAATGGTCCATTAATATTTACTAAGGAACCAAGGGAGGGACAATATTAATAATAATAATAATAATAATAATAAATATCCTAAAAATAAAACCAGGGCCTCCATATACATGTCCAAGTTTTTGGTATTCTAGAGAAAAAACGCTACTTTCACTTTGTTGTGGAGGCAAAATACGTGAGCCTAAAAGTTCGAGTTGACTTTATCATCAAAGAAATATAAAAGACAGTGTCATTAAAAGTACTGATCAGTGATAATGTTTGAGTTAACTTCGTTATCAAAAAGAGTATGGGAATATACAAGACAGGGTCATGAAAGATCCCAGATGAGAACCGGAATTTGCAGCTGAAGTTGACAAGAAAATAAATGTTGGATCAGAAAACGTGAAGGCGGGAAACTAAAAATAAAACATGGTTGCGAAAAGAACATTTGAAAAGAGAAAATGGGCAATTATTAATGGCCCAGAGAGATTCGATAAGAAAAAATAGTATTAATTGTCGCGGTAGGACACATCGAAACGCTAAATGTGAACTAATTTAATCATATAATTGGTTCAGAAATGATACATAGTTAGGTTGGAAAGGTGACGCACGGTGAATTATGTGAAAGAGTGGATTGTTAGCAATTCACCCCAAGCAAGGCGGGAGTGTCACTAGCACGCAAAGGTTTACAGAAGAATGAGAAAAAGAGTAAAGAAGCGTGTTTGAGGAAAGGATACAGAAAAGGACGGGGAACAAGCTCAGGGTGCCAGATGTCGATTGACATTATACTTGAATATTTTGAGATTATAGTTATCAGGGAAGCAAGTAAGGGGAAGGGAGTTCCACAGATGGGAAGTGCAAGAGAAGAAGCTGTTTGAGTAGAAGAAACGGTAAGATTTAACCGTTTCGACAGTGAAAGGGTGGAACCGAGATGCCAAGCTAGTAACTAGCTTAAATTCATACAGTCTGGGAACAAGCAAAAGTACGAAACAGTTGCCGTGAAAATACTTATAGAAAATACAGAGGGAAGCCACGGCACGTCTGTGAGAAAGCGACTGTAGACGAGATGCCAGATCAGGACCTATCGCATTGCACGTTCGTCTCTACAGATACAAACGTGAATATGCTCTGTATTTTGAAATTAAGACCGTCCACACAATCCAAGAAAAAAAGCAAGATATTGTAAATTTGAAGAGGAAGAAAACTTGTTACTATCGCAACAAGACATTGGATGAAAGTGAATGGATATTGATCTAAGAAATGTTCTAGACCTTACAGAAGCACTGAAAAATAGGGGACATGAAGGTGAAAACGGCAAAAAACTTGGTAATGTGCTGAAGATCTTTGTAAAGAGTTTCTAAAGAAAACCTGAAGAGTTGACTTTAGTATTACTAAAATCAGCAAGAATACTGTGGCGGGATTTGTGTATTAAGATATTTTGATTCATCACTTGAACTCTAGTGAAAAGCACGCGTTTTTTATTGTTTTGAAGGATGAATAGATAGAAGAATAGGAAGAGGATGAAGAAAGAAAGAAAATGAAGAGAAAAAAGAGGGAAAAGAACAATGAAAATGAAGATTGGAAGGTGGAAAAATGACAGGCAGTCCATGTAGGATATGCGCCAGAATTGAGCGTGAATAACATTAGAAACAGCCATCGAAAGAAGAAAAATAAACAAGAAAAGAAAAAAGAAGAAATGAAAAAAGGAAGAAAAAAAAAACTGCTGCCAAACGGACATCAAAAAAGATAAGGGAATAGAAATCTATGTAAAAAAATTGAACCTCCTCCCCACCAAATTAGAAATCGATACCAGAAAAAAAAAACAACAAAAAAATTAATAAAAAAAATAAAAGAAAAAAATAAAGGAAAAATCAATATCAGAAAAATAGAAAATCGTTTCTAAGAAAAAAAGAATGGAACAACGAAAAGGAAAAGGAAAACAAAAGGTGAAAAACGAAATATAAATCGATGCCCAAAAATAGAAAAAAAAAGAAACAGAAAAAAAAGGGTGAACGAAAAAAACATTATTTGCGGTCAAAAGAAAGAGAAAAAATAGTAGAAATCTATGTCAAAAAAAAAAAAAAAAAAAAAAAAGGCAAGGAAAATAAGCGGGAAAGGAGTAAAAAGAAAACGAATAGAGGAAATAAGAAAAGAATAAATCTATGACATAAATGTAAAAAATCCATGCCAAAAAAAAAAAAAATAAATAAAAAAACAACAAAAATAAAACAACAAATGAGAATAGAAAAGCAAATGAAAAATGAAAGCAAAATGGCGACGCGAAATCTGGAAAATGAAATTAAAGAAAGAATGGTAAAACAATGAAGAAAAACAATAGCCACACCTTCGAATCAACGAGCATGTACCTTGTAAAATAAGACAGAATAGCTTTTTTTTTTTCAAAAAAGGAGTTTCCCAGCGACATGTAGTCCAGCGTATAACGATTAGATACATTCGACAGTAAGGCTTCTGATGGGGAAGGTGAATAAATAAAAAGAAATAAACCAACAACATCGTAGGAACACACACACACACACACACACACACACACACACACACACACACACACACACACACACATTTTTATATCAAATTTTATATATCGTTACCCCAAATATATATATATATATATATATATATATATATATATATATATATATATTACTGCATGTTTCATTAAATAATATGGACAAGTTTTTGTCTGTTTATTTTAAATAAGTTTCTTTCATATTGTCTGATAAGCTTAATAACATTATCATTGAAAGACGAAAGGAAATCATCATATTGATACATGTTTAAAATGAATCTAAGCTTTCGGCTTACATAAGCCATTATCAGAGATGACAATTACATATCAATATATCAAACAACACACGGACGAAACAATAATGATAGTCTGTTTTTGTTGCATGAAAAATTTCAAATCAACGACAAACTCGTGTATACCAGACGCGGAAGCGAAAATCGCGTCGCTGTTCGTGACGTCACTCAAGACCACGCGTGATTGAAAACGAGAAGTATTAAGCATGGGAAGCCGTTGGTATAAACCAATGGTTTCTGTAATCAATTATAGGCATTTAAGAATATTTGTGGAGATTTCATATTTTATTTTGTTCAGGTTAGGTTTCAACTGTTTTATGCTTCAAGAATTTTTAGTTTTTGTTTATTGTTTTCATGTTTAAGTATAATTGTGTTTTCAACATGGATTTTCCGGGATTGTGTACGCGGCCAGGCATCTTGTTTTAAATGCCTAAAAATGTTAGAGTTATCATTCAAATGTAGAGTCAAAGCGAGTTTGTGGTGTGACCAACATAAATATTATTTAATCCAATCTGCCAAAGGGCACTTGAATTTGTAAATTATGTTGTTTTTTTCAAATCTGTCTATATTATTTAATGAAACATGCATTAATGAAAAATTGCTGCCTAAATATACATTATATATATATATATATATATATATATATATATATATATATATATATTTTTTTGAACATAGAAATATAGGTCCTTGCTAGATTAGATAATCGTTATATTTTTATATGTTTATATTAGATTTGTAACCTGTAGTCGATATTACTTTTGTGAAATTTTCTTAATTAAACAGTGGCTCTTTTATAAATGCCTTTCAGTTTTAGTTCCCAACCACCCCATCTCTCTCCCCCACCCTCTTTTTCTTTTCTTATCCTCTCCGTCTCTCATCTTCTGATCTTTAAGGTTATATCGTCTGTTTGTGTGTATGTCAACACAAAATGTATACTCTTTTCCGGTAAATCTTTCATGTATTAGACATCCGAGAATATTCATATTTCTCTCACTTAAACCGTCTTTGACTCCCCTTTTTAAAACTTCTCTCTGTTAAATTTTAATTCCCCCCTTCATCTTTAGACCTTCCTGTTCTTCTCTCGTCTGTTACCCCTCCCTATAGCTTTCATTTACTCTAACATTCGTCCCACACTCTCATACATACACCTCTCACTAAATTTTATTTTTTATTTCCGGAGTTCTTTTTTCTGTTTACTTTTTGAATTTGTAGGTCTGATGAATTGGATCGTATTTACAATGCCAATGGAATAAATTATGACCATGGAATATTAGTGTTTAAGCCTTTTATTATTATATATATATATATGTATATATATATATATATATATATATATATATATATATATATATATGTGTGTGTGTGTGTGTGTGTGTGTGTGTGTTTGTGTGTGCGTGTGTGCGCGTTGTGTTGTGTATGTAACTGAAATATTCATGCAATAACCAATAAACGGAGTCTGGTGCCAGTCTGGAACAGTCTGAGAAATCATTTCTACTCAAATGCTCCTCGCTTCTGAGAGCCGTGAATTTAATGTCGCAATGTTCTATTGTCACTTGCTGACATTATCTTGACAGAAGGCGGCATACAATAAGCTCTACTATAGCCGACGTCTTCAGGGACCAATGCTCTAGTCTTGTAGGTTTAACGATATAGACACGGATTTTCGTCTGGTGGCATCTTATCTAACGTCATCTGGAAAAAGGTGAAATGTGTATATGTTTTTACCTTGTAACATGAGTTGTTCTTTTAAATTTTCAGTATGCTTAATACACAGGAACAAATATTTTCATATGGGTGTAGGTGGGTGGTGCTTTGGATGCAGGTTGGGTGCCAGGCGCGGGCCAGGAAATGTTTAGGATTGCAGTAAAACCATGCCTTTACCTTTACACCATTTCGTAGTGTATTGCATTAAGTAGATTCTGGCAAATATTAAGAATTCCCTGTTGCAGCAGACGCACGGCTATATCATGTTGAAACACTGGTTCTTGTACAATCATCGAAATTAAGCAATGTCGAACCTGGTCAGTGCCTAGATGGGTGACCACTTGGGAATACCAGGCGCTGTAAATTTGGCGTGTGTGGGTTTAAGGGTTTAACAGTTTGGCATTGTAAATTGGAGAGTCGAGTTCTGTTATAGTGGAACACACCTATTCTATAGTTAATAGACTTTCCCACCTATAATAAGTAGGAGTAGTAAGAGTAACGACTCAGTCGCTCAGTGAGTTGGTCAGTCAGTCGATGTTGGCCGACCGTTAGTCGGATATTAAAGTATCAGCCACCACAACTAGATTGCTGCGTCATTACCTATGATATCAAGTTCCTAACGTTTTGTACGTCGAACCTATTTTAGGACCGACTTAGTACAAATACAAGCCTCCACTGTGAAATCACTACATAACAAGTTCCAATTCTATTTCGGTTCGTTATATTCACTTACGTGCCAATATCCTTGGGAAAGATACGAATTAACCTCTTCCCACCGCCTAGCTATGGGTTAGTTAGAAGGACTTGTATCAGTAAATCATTATTATCTTCAAAAATGTTTTACAATCTAAAAATATTTTATGACATTAAATAACCTGCAAAAGGTTGACAAGCCGTAAAAAAAAACAGTCAAAATCTTAAGCTCACGTGAAAACTTCATACTCAAATGCGAAGCCCGATATGTGATGAAATTTAAAAAAACAAAAAAAAAAGTTCCGGGTGATACTTTCTTGAACTATCTGTTGCTATGTTTTCCATTTTATAAAAATAGCAAATAAAACCTTGCCAGTCAAGTGACTCAGCATTTATGTAGTTAGTACTGGACGATGTTTCCAATAACAATCAATTGACGAGAAACTACAATTCACAAGAAGGCGGTACAGTCCGCAAGGATAAACATTCGGCTGACGTCACAGGCGGCGTTGCCAGGCAAAGTCTCGTTCTCAAACGAGACTTTCAACCTATGAGTAAGAGCCCAAGTTTAGAAATCATTCAAAAGTTCATCTTTTTAAACTTTACCACCCACGGATGGATTAATGGTATTAACAGTTAAAAGCACATCCATTTATCCTATTGCGACTTCGCGTTCACCTTCTGGCTCGCCGCCATTTGTAACCTTGTAAAAACTTTCCTCATCGTCGTTACCTGTCGACTTACGTCTTACTCAAGGCTTTATGGAAATTTTTACCCTTTCAGCCGGTCTATGTACCAAAGCTGTTTCATTTTTCTGTAATTATATATTTTCTTAGCAATCACAGAATTATTTTCAAATCGTTTAGCATTTATCTTTTGCAGCATCTCTCTCTCCCATTCTCTCTCTTTCTCCCTCTGTTTACGGCCATGTCATGTTGAAACATCGGTTCTCGTACGAAGTTAAGCAACGTCAACGTCAAGCCTGGCCACTATCTAGATGGGTGACTTCAATGTGTGTGTTTATATATATATATATATATATATATATATGTGTGTGTGTGTGTGTGTGTGTGTGTGTGTGTGTGTGTATGTATAATTAATTAATTAACAAATCGGAAACTTCAGAAAGCCATGGTAATATTTTATTTCAGGAGACCGATAAAATTCGATTTCCTTCGTTAGACTTGGTGATTTCAAATATATATATATATATATATATATATATATATATATATATAATGATAAATATTTGTAATATATATATATATATATATATATATATATATATATATATATAAATTCAAAAAAGGTTTTTATATCCTCCTGGAATTATCTATAGGGATTACCAATTAACTTTATATTATTATGCACATATATATATATATATATATATATATATATATATGAAGAAATATAGTCTTCAGGTGTGCTATATTTATGGGATAAAGTGCCGATATCAGAGATAGAGCATGTGTAAATATATAAATAAACATAGAAGTTTCATAGAGGGCGACAATCGTTTCATGCTATATGCAATCTGACGATTGCATCTAGCATGAAACAGACTGTCGCATCTAAGTGTTGACTTCTATGTTCACTTTTATATATATATATATATATCATGATAAATGTTGGTAATATATATATATATATATATATATATATATATATATATATATATATATATATATAGTGATAAATTTAATTGGTAATCCGTATGGATAATTCCAGGGAGGATATAAAAACCTTTTTTGAAACCACCAGGTTTAACTAAGCGAAAACTAATTTTATCGGTCTCGTTGCGAATGTCACAATAAAGATGAGGACAAAAGTCCGAAAAGTGTAAATACTTACAATATCTCATCTAAGAAATATAGACTGGTATTATCTTCATTTTATTCATTTTTAAGCTGCAGACCAGATTTGTACGCTTATCTTAAAAGTTAGCCTCTACTGTTGTTCAAAAGACGTCTTTTGAACCGGAGTAGAGTGTTTTAAGTTGTTTCCTGTTTAGGAATGGGTTTCCGGTTCCTTCTCCGAAATCTTACTAATTTTCTTTCACTACTAGTAACCCCTTGCGTCCTGGTGGCATTATTACCTTGTATGGGGTGAAATGATTAAAAAAATGAGTTGATATTGAAAAACAAATTAAAAAAAAAAGAAGCTATGTATTCAATCGTTATAATCATAATAATCAGGGCGTCATATTCACACTTATCCGATCAGGCGTACGGCCGCATCACGTTGAAACATCAGTTCACGTACAATCACCGAAGTTAAGCAACATTGAGCCTGGTTAGTACCTAGGTGAGTAACCTCTTGGGAATACCAGGTCCTGTAAGTCCGGTGGTGTAATGGATAATAGCTCGGAATTATTAATCGGAGTGCCGAGTTCGAATTTCAATTAGGTATGCTATATTCACTTATACGTAAATACCCTCGGGAAAGGCATGAATCCATTCCCACTAGGGGGTAATTAGTAAGACTTGTATTACTAAGTCATTATTATCTGCAATCTTAAAATATTTCCTGGCTTTTAAACAACATGTCAACGCTTGGTAAACCGTTGTAATCGAATCAATCATCTCCGGAAGAAATTTGTCACGATATCCTGAAATATCAAGAATTCACAGAACGCTGCCAGAAAAGCCACTTTGAATATTTTTATGCTCGGCGATTGTCTGTAATCTAATCACAAGACTCCGTTAAATAGGTTACTCGCACTTTCACCACTGTTTCTCTTGTTTTCAATAAGTTCAGCGATTTTCACATTCTCCAAGTCCTATTTTCTCTTCATACGTCCGAGAAATTCTTCTGATTCTAAGCACGGGTTTCTTTGTTTTTATTTTCATCAAAATTTGCATCATTTTCTGTCCATTCTATTTATAGCATTCGTTGGTGGAAAGACATCTTTATCGCTTCAAGTCTCTTCTTCATCCGTGAGGAGATTGTCCAGCTTCCAATACGATAGAAGAATTACATTCAATGCTTCGAAAACCAAACTAGTTACATTCCATCATATCCGATCGGACCCCGAACTGCCACCAGTCACGATGAATGGATGTCTCCCCGGGGTGGCACCGTGCCTGAGGTGATTATTGGGCCTTAAACTAACCCCAGATCTCAAGTAGAACTCGTACATACGATCCATCGCTAAAGATGCAGCCAAAATGATTGGTTCCCTGAACTGTTCCTGTTAGAGCCTCACTTCTCGTGCCATCTGCCTTTACAAGAGCCAAATGAGGCTTTAAATGAAGTACGCCTGTTATATTTGAGCGGGAGCTTCCTATTTTTCACTTTTCTGTTTCGATAGAGTCCAAAAGCATCTCCGCGTTCTTTGGGGAGTGACAAATTATTTTTTTACCCTACAACCCCTCTATCACAGACGGGGCGTAGCTAACCTCTCATTTCCCATATCGCTATTTCCATGGAAAGTGCTCGGATGGTTTCGTCAGATCTAGTCTCCATGGCGAGGATCCTCCATGTTATTCACATTGTAGCAAACCACTCTTATTCCACTGGAGAGAAATGAGTCCCACCCGGGCAACTTCTTCCCGCGAACCACTGTTCTGTGAAACTGACTCTCAAGAGGATGTTTCCTCGGTCACTACAATCCAGTTAACCGTTTTTTTTCCCTTATCCACATAAACTATACCTCTTATTTTGTAGCCCTTTATTTCAAGAGCCCCCCCCCGTACAGGGTAAAATAACAAAACAACTATTACATAGCAGTTCAACACGCTTTTGTTTCTAACACTATTTTCCTTTATCTTAATACTTTGCTTAGTTTTTAAACTGGCAGTCGTAATTGTCGGACAGATGAACTTATTAAGCATTAACCTTCGTCGAGGCGACCTAAAATACATAATTTACTATAAACTTTTGATCACTTTATCCTCTGCTTCGTTTCGTTTGTACAATCTACGACTGGTAATTAAGTAGCCTGGGCCTCTAATGTAAGAAAATTCTCTAGCATTCGGTACCACTAAAAAAATATTCATTTCGCCCCAAGCAAGGTGATAATACCACTAAGACGCAAGGGGCTACTAGGAGTGAAAGAAAATGAAAAGACATTAAAGAGAAACTGAAGACCAATCCTAAACAGGAGACAACAGCGAACTGTTCAAAAAACAAGGGAGGAGTGTGAACTGGACGATAGGCGACCCTATCTACACCTATTGAAGAAGAAAGAAACAAGCAAATAAATAGTAAATAAAATTTAACTGCTTAGGGGAAGACTTCAGAAATGGAGTTGAAATAAACTTTAGAAGTTAACGGAAACCCGATCTGTTACGGGACCTTACCCATAATAACATAATGGACTATTCAGTACGTAATAAATACTGCGCCTCAAGAGGAAGCAGAGAGTTCAGTTCAAAGTCGGGCGACCGGTTGATCGGCTGAACGGTTGAACTCAGTGCCTTCGGGCGGGGAGGAACCCGAACGAGGCTACGCCGAAGGGCGGAGTCTCTTTCGGGGAAGTAAACCGACCCTGAACCCGTTTATACGGGTTCAAAGGGCATATTTTTGTCCGAGCCCACGTGCTCGGATATCGCACGTTAAACCGGCCTTGTGCCACATGATGCCCTGGTGGGGGGGGTGATTAATACCGTTCAGTCTGAAGTCTGGTTGAGGTCCGTCAGAAGGCCGTCAGCGAGCGAGTCAGTCAGTCGAGTCAGAGGCAGACCGAAACAGAGTCTCGTTCAGACAATTACTACTAAACCTGATTGTTCGTACTAACACTTTATACTTCTTTGTATATATTCCTGTTTGTAATATATCTGTGTTATTCCATATACGTGTTCGAGTTCTTCTTTATTGGTTCTACCTTGGACTATCACCGTGGTACACGGAACCGGACCATAACAGGATTCTAAACAGGAACCAAGGAATAAACTTGTATTCCTGTTCAAAAATCCGGGGTGGAGTGTGAAGCGGACGATAGAAGGATTGGTGTTAGATAACAGTGTAGCTTTCTTCTTTTTTCTGTTCTTAATGAATTTTTCCTTTATCGGAAGGCTTAGATTTTTCAAGAAAGTGATTCTCTATTCGCTATACGCCCTCGATTTCGTTGGCACATTTTCTGCCTGAGGTTGAAACAAGGAACACCAAGACAAACGCTAAGCGAATTAAAATGGATAACGCCATGCTTCATCTAAGAAATTCATGTTAGCGTTAAATCACGAATTGCCCATCTATAGAATGGCGGATTTATTTGTTTACATCCAGTAAAATGTCGGACTGATCTTCATAAAATTTGTTACTGCGGCCTCGATGTCAATAATTATTTCTTTATTTAGACTCTTCAGATAGATGCAAGCCTATTTTCTATTTCCTTTGTGCAAATCTCAATGATTACTGTTGACCTAATGTGAAGCAAAACCCAAGCCGTTTCATGGCATATAATAACAGCTATAAATATGGGAAGAGCGAATATTGATCCACACGTATCTATTAAATCGATATTATAATCTGTTTTAAAAATAAAGTGACAAACAAAAACTAAATAGAGAGCTGATTTCCATGTCTTTCTGGAATCTCTGTTTGCGAATTTTATCTAATATTTCCTCATTAGAGCGTAAAGATTGCGAGGTCAAATCACCTTATTGTGTCAAACGGTGGACAGTCATTTTGAGCTGAGGATTTCAAGTGCGTACTGATCCATCCGTCGGTGCTCGGATCAAGGGACCTGGCTTGGTCCGAGCTGAGCGCTGAGACTCCTCAATTAATATTCATCGGATATTAATGAGTTCTAATCCACCAGAACAGTTGGAGACTAATCAAGGATTCTGATGAACAAGAGTCGGGCTTTGTGTGTGTGTGTGAGAGAGAGACAGAGAGAAAGAGGGAGAAAGAAAATGAAGAAGAAAGAGAACTATAGGCGATGTGTAGGTGATGGTGAAATTCGAGTGGGCGAACCGAATTTGAAATGAATGGTAAGGGAAGCCTTTGATATTGTAATTTCGTTGACGTTGGATCTGTGGTCAATTATGGCGGCTAGAGAGTTGGAATAGACAGACAGACAGATAAAAAAGCTCGGTACGGACTGAGATAGAGAGGAAGAAATTGAGATACGTATCTAGAGAGGAACAGAGGAATAGATATAAATAGATAAAGGCCAGTAGATAAATTGATAGATAATTTAAATGATAGATATGAAGAAATCGATATAAATTTCATAGGAAAACTGAGACAGAGTATAGTGTAGCATGATCGATAGATGTACGTGTATATATGTTTGTGCATATGCGTATGTGTGAGTATGTATATGTATTAATGACACATTCTTTCAAAATGCGAATATTTTTATTTGATATTTCTTATCTATCTATCTGTTTATCTATCTTAGTCTCTACTGATCTATCTATCTTAGTGTTTACTGATCTCTCTCTCTCTCTCTATATATATATATATATATATATATATATATATATATATATTGCATTTCACTGCATTTAAGGCTTTTATTTAGTATTTTATACAATTTCTCATGTGTTTTTTTTCTTTTCGGATGATAAATTGTGTAAAACTGTCCCAGATATTCTTTTATTTTTCAGCCATACATTTAGCCATTTTCAATGATTAAATATTTTAAGTGAAATAAGAAATAGTTTGCCGTATGTATAAGTTTTATAAAATGTTTTCATTTTCTATTTCTTTAAATATTATTTAAAATATTTAATCGAAAAGCTAAATGCTTTTATTTAGAGAAATTTAAATAAAAGCATCTTGTTCGTATTCATCATGAAACATTATATCACTAGGTTTATATATATATATCAAAAAAAAAAAAAAAAAAATTAACCTTTTTTAATACATAAAGTTTACTAATTCTGAAAATGATAAGTCTGAATGTTACTTAAATAATATCTAAATTAAAGTTTAAAATTGTAATTTAATATACTTTGATAGGAAAAATTTTTTACTTACTATGAGTAATTATCCTTCTGTTATAAAAGTAATTAGTCTAAATCTAACAATGAAAATATTTTTAAAATTTAAGTTATAATTTTAAAATTTTAAAATTGAAATTAAAATTGTAGTAAAATAAAATGAATTCTAACATGTTATTTATACATACATTTCAATATATTTGAAATAAATAAATTAATTAATTTAAATAAATAAAAAGCTAAATCTGAAATGACATTTTCAATGATTAAAATATTTTAAATTTAAAATAAGAAAAAAAAAAAAAAAAAAAAAAAAATTTACATATACTTTGATTGGAAAAATAATCTTACTTAATATGTATAAATGTTTTATAAACAATGAAAATTTTTTAAAATTTTTTGTAATTTTAGATTTGTAATTAAAATTGTGTTAAATTTAATTCTAACCTAAATTTCTTTTAAATAATACTACACGCATTAAAAAGAATCAAAAAATAACACCTATATTAAAATTAATATTTAATAATATTTAATCATGTGAAAATAATAATAATGTATATATAAAAGAAAAGTTTACTGAATCAAATGAAATTAAATATGCCATTTCATGTGTCATAGTCAAAAAAAAAAAAAATAAAAATGTAACCTCATACATATAATGTTAAAATAATTTAATATAATGGATTCTAATACATTTAACTGAAAAATAAAAAAATTAAATCGTATGAGAAAAAAATTGTATAAAAAAATTAACTAAATTTCAGTGTAAAACCAAAATGTAGCTAATAACTGATACAATGATACTGTCATAAGGAAAATCTAGACACCCCGTGTTCAATTTGAGTAGAATATTCTGTAACCATGGAAACGTGATTTTAGCTGTGTATTTAAAACCCGGTAAATTTTAAAAGTTACTCCAAAATTCGCTTGAAGATGAAATAGAACTAATGCTTTTTAATTTATTTGCAAAAATAAAATTAGGGGTTTTTAGCTTCTATTTTGAAACATGGTTGGAACTGTGTATAACCATATTTTAAATCAATATATATATATTAATAAATTTACATTGAGCACTATTTTGTAAAAATAAAATATATATATTTTATATATATATATATATATATATATATATATATTTGTTGTGAAATATGCGTTTATAAACGAAGAATTAAATTAATCTTCAAACACAAATCTATAGATTTTAATTTTTATTTTTCACTTTTTGTATTAAAAGAAAATGTTTGATTTTGTGATAGATGAATTCGATGAAGTCTGTGTCTCCTATGTGACGATAATATATAATTTGAAGATAAACAGCAAAAAGTTCTATAGCGAAAATATATTTATTTTGGTGAATTTTGCATGTTTGCTGCGAAAAATGAACGATTTTACCTTTTGTTGAATTACGATGAACTGCACCTTCTCTTATAAAATAGTTGCGAGTATGCTTCTTTTTTCTAAGTAGTTCGATTTGGTATATATTGCAGTTGTCGCAGACGTGTATTTGTTGTTTTTTTTTTTTAGAATACTTCTAAAATAAGAAATGTCTTCGAAAGTTGACTAGGTTTGTGTACGAAAGTTGAAAAGGAATTGTTCTGATTTTGGATTGGAAAGCGTTCGAAAATTGACTAGTGCGTTGTTCGAATGCACACAAGACTGAATTCTCGATTACGAAAAGTTTTTGAAATGTAATTAATAAAAAAAAAATGCGAAAACTTTGTAAGAAATTCCGAAAGTTTTGTATGCAACTTCTAAATTAAAAATGTAGATTAATTTCTAGGGAGCGTCGTGTCAACCATCACGAGATTAGCTCCAGTTAGCTCGTTGGTAATAAAAGAAATCCTATTGATACGTGACAAAACTCATCATACGTATTTTAATGAACAGAGCGCGCAGCAGAATCCGCCCAGAGGACAAGAACAGTGCGGGTTCATTAAAGACACTGGAAAAAGGAACGCGATATTCATGCTCAGAATGTTATCCGAAAGTGCGATACAGATGCAAAAGGATGTTTACCTATGTTTCATAGACTACGCAAAGGTCTTCGACAAAGTACGCCACAAGGATCTGATGGAACTGTTCAGCAACCTCGATTTATTCGGGAAAGATATCAGAATATTCAAGAACCTATACTGGCATCAAACAGCATGCATGCGCATAAAGAACGAGTTCAGTGAATATACAAAAATAGAAAGAGGCGTAAGGCAAGGACGTGTCTTCTCACCGGACTTATTCAACCTATACATCAAAGCAATTCTGAGAGACTTGGAAATCCTACCGCGATTTAGCATTGGTGACCACAATCTTAACAAAATAAGATGACACAGTACTGATAGAATAAAATTGCAAAATCTCCTACAGAAGGTAGCGACGGAGAGTGAGAAGAAGGGACTAAGCAAAAACTACAAGAAGACGGAGTGCATGGTCGTCAGTAAGAGGATGAGCCCGAAATGCGATGTGAAGGCCGGGAACACTAGAATCAAGCAGACGCGGAAGTTTCAATACCCGAGAAGCGTCTTGACAGAGGACGGTAAGTGCGACACTGAGATCCGTGGACGTATTGGGATGGTCAAGGGTACATTCCAAAAACTAGGCAGAGTACTGCGAGATAGGAGGATTTCTTTGATAACAAAGAAAAGAATACTGAACTGTTACGTGACATCTGTCCTTCTTTACGGCAGCGAATGTTGGACGATTTCTTCAAAGATGAAGAAGAGACTCAAGGCGACGGAGATGTGATTCTACAGAAGGATGCTATGGATATCATGGACAGGGCGTGTAAGCAACGATGAGATCATTACGAGGTTGCAAACAAGAAGGAGGCTTATACTTAATATCAGGAAGAGGCAGCTGAAGTTTCTGAGACTCAAAATCAGAAAGGCGGGCCTGGAGAATCTGATACTCACAGGTCGAATAGATGGAAAGAGAGAGAAAGGAAAACAACGCGTGACTTATCTGGCGGACTTAAGAAAGTGGATGACACAACTTGATCTGGGGAGGAAGCAGAGGGAAGGAACTTGTTGAGAGCTGCAAGGGATAGAAAGGGGTGGAGGGCCATGATCTGAAAGGACATGACACATAAAAAGAAATAATTGATTGCAAATTCTTTCCTCAAAACGAGTGGAATGAACGATCTACACCCTATCAAGTGGAAGGTCAGTATTTTTTAGTCTGGAACAGCTGTGACGTCGTCCCCCGGTCGCAGCGCCAACTGTGACGTTCTATCCTGATCTACCACGGCGCCAGTTGTGACGTGGCCGTTCCAGGGTCCTATCCCGGTCATGACACCAGATGTGACGTCCCTAAACAGCACCAATTGTGATGTCTTCGCCGCGGCGCCAGCTGTTCGCTCCTCGCTGCTCTGTCCGGGTGTCGCTGCCCCAAACGTGACGTTCGCCTGTCGCGTCAGTCGTGTTGTCTCGTACTGTGACGACCAACTGGCTTGGTATCTGTCGCGGCACCCAAATCTGACGTTCTAACCCTTTGGTGATTCGGGTAGGAATCTCGTTAGATTTGATATCAGCCTCGCCGTTCCCAACTCGCTTCCAACGCCTGGTTACCAAGGTAACTGCACTGATCTCCAGTCTGCCTACCCACGTTGTGAATTGATCTTAGACAGACGAGATCAAACAGGGGTTGGGGCCGTAATGCAAATTGAGTTCAACGGGGGTGATAACACACAAATATGCATAAAAGAAAATAAAATGAAAACTCAAAAAAGTTCAAAGTATCAAAGAAAAGGTAACAAACTTTTTATGTCTAGTTGTTCGATACATAGGACTGCATCTATCTCCCGACCCGTTCTGTGGATTGTGACACGTCGCTTTCGCTAGGCAAGTTTTAACGCTTCAAGTTGTCTGCTCTCTAAGAAATTTGTGTTTCGGTGTGTCTTTGGACGAAAGTCGAAAAACTTATTTCTGTGGTCTGGTTCTAAGTCGCTCTTCAAAATAATTGTTCTTGGTTGAAGAGGAGTCCAAAATTTTGCGTGAATCTTGGTCAGCTATCTTGATCTATCATCTCTGCCGCCAGGGCTGAACTAACTGTCTTCTGCCCGCCAGGGTCGAACGAACTAACTCTACCCGCCAGGGTCTGAACTACTGGGCACTCATCTCTGCCGCCCGGGACTGAACTAACTCTCTTCTGACTGCCAGGGCCGAACGAACTGTCTTCTGCCCGCCAGGATCCGAACTAACTCTGCCCGCCAGGGCCGAACGAACTGGGCACTCATCTCTGCTGCCAGGGCCGAACGAACTGATTTCTGCCTGTTGGGGCCTCGTTTTTATTGAC